ACAAAATTTAAGTTATCATCAGCTTTCAGGTCGGATATTATTGCAATCTGATTAAATTACTTATCAAGGTTAACTTCCCGATACAATCGTAAACTTTTCCTTAAATTCACAGCAGAAACGATATAGGCCTTCTCCTTACGCGTAAATGATAAAATAACAAACTCTCGTTACAGCAAAAGGTAACTCGCTTTTATACCTTCTGTCTATATCCAAGAGCAGCTACAGTACTTAGTATTTACTTAGAAATTAATACTAACAAACAACATTGCTGTCTTACGGTCTTAGTCCTTGACTTGTATTACTTCATGTTTTATTTTGAAATATATTAGAGTGCAGGTATAGCACGAGGCAGTTATGATCTGAACACGATTTGACCTTTGAGCTCTCTTATAAATTAGATATCTAACTGATTTACTTGCCCTTACTGGAAAATGAATAAGTTTTACAATCTATAACTTAACAACATGCTATCAACTGTATTGCAACGTACTTATACGTAACGATAGTCTTACGCACCAAGATACCATTGTATCAGACACTATTTTCTTGAATTCTAAAGTCACTATAGATATGCTGTAATAATATGTAACTCCTTCAGCTATTTTTATAGTTTATACTACTACGCAATAAGAATACGCCCACAAAACAAGTAGATAAAAAGTGCTTTATTATACAATGATTTACAGCAGTATATATTAGTTACCATCCGCCATAACTTCCACAGTTCTTCTTTTCTTACTATCGATCCCCGATCATCTTCTATTATGGCTTTCATTATCCATAACTCTTTCGTAAACATATTTGTAAAAAACTCCTAGCCATTACCTCACACTTTGCATTCAAGCTATTCGTTATAAATTTAAGACATTTAGTAGACATCTAATTTCCCTAAGCACCATGATCACAGTTCTTTGCTTTTCTAATTTTAAACTAATACAACCTCTAATCATACATGATACAGTCTCGCTCTAACCTCCGCATATGGTGCGAACTGCCCATGTTATATTAACTATATTACTATCGGAGAATTACTAATCCTTTATTTCAATTGCCGTATGTTAAACAGAGCGATCTTCTTAATAGACAAGTTTTAATGTTCTTACTTGCTATGAGAATAATCTTAAAAGTGTAGAGATTTAGTTCTAAAATATGCAGTAGGTAAGTGATTAAATATTCTGAAATTACTTAACGACTGTTTCTTTCAAATTACACTAGATTAATATAATTTAAACTCACTGATATACTTCGTAAGCACTTTCTGCAGCAGTATGACATTTTTTAATTAAAGCAGTTTGGAGTAGCAAAACAATATTGGCATAGAATTTTCTACCAAAAAAGTATAACGCAATTAAAGGTCTATGAAGAAGAAGGAGAATTTAAGTTTTAATGTCATGCTAACTCCTCCAATCTGTCATCATAATACTTCAAAATAGCGAAATAGTGAACGCTTTCAAAAATATCAATTGAAATATTACAGGATGATTACGTCATGACAATATTGTTACTCGCTACGAATCGTTCAAATTTTATAATTAAAGTGAGGAAACAGTTGAAAAGAACGTATTAAAACAATGAAAATAATATTTTAAAAATTTTATTCTCGAAAATTGAACTACCGCATCATCTTCTAGTCGGTAACTTGATTCATTATTAAACCACCACCTACAAGTAACAATAACTAATCCGGAATAGAAGAATGACTACTCAAAAATTGAAAAATGAATTTGTCAAGTTATTCTTTTTCAATATTAAACCATATAATAGATGATGATTGTGCAAAAATTCCATTTGTAATTAAAAGCAGGTGTCTTATTGAAAGCCTTTCTTTATAAATAGCTTAATTATCTTAATAATGCGAAAATGATCAAATATTTTTGCAATTTATTCGTACAACTAAAAAAATAATTAAGCTATCTAGTCCAAGGCAGCTATGCTATAAATTATTATTGAAAGTAGGGTAATACTATTAACTCTAATATCCTGTACATTCTATCATTGGATTTACGCAGATTATAACAGTAGGTATCTTTATTAAGAATTGTATGATCTTCTCAAGACTAATTTCAATAAGATTATCTACAAACTATTGGCTAATATTTAATACATGAATCTATAAATTATCATTGAATGATTAAATAGGCAATTATATGCTACACCACTACTCATCGAATTAATATCGTCATCGCTTACCCCGACGATTACTTATACATAAAAATATACTAGAGTATTGTTAAGCTGTATCATTCTAACATGGACGTCAACGCAAGTACTAACCAAAGCATCAAGACTTCTTATTATGCTGCTTTAATTAACACAAGTGTTGGCGTTGTTGCGTTTATTTTAAATCTATCAGTTTGTTTGATTATTACCTCACACTCCATTCTACGCCAGCCATTTAATCACTTAATACTAAATTTATCTTTTTCTGATCTCTTGGTCTCTTTAGCTGTCTTTTTCAACGGAATTTTAGATTATTTTTCAGTACAACGATTTATGTCTTATGAATTGGCTACGGTTATTTGCAAGATTGATATGTCATGTGCCGTAATATCACTACCCGTTGCTTGCTTAACGTTACTTGTGATGAGTATTGAGCGTTATCATGCTGTTGCAATAATCCAATTTCGATCTGTGGAATTATCAACGGTACGTAAGGCTATTTTGATCATTTGGATATTGGCGATTTTATCAGCAATTATGCCGATCATCTCTACTCAGCTAGATCCTATTTATCCAAATGATTGTTTTGTTGGCGACGTTGATAATTTTGCCTTGCTAATCGTAAGCATTATAGCTTTCTCCGTAACGTGTGTGGTATCCATCGCGATTATGTTAATATTCTATAGTATCACTATTTATAAATTATGCCATAATATGGCTGTTGTCCAACCTTCACAGGCGCGAATTACAAGTAAAAGGGATCAAAATATACGACGAACTATTATTCCAATTTTATTTCTGTCGATATTTTCATCGATATCTAGCGTTCCGTACGTACTCCTAAATTATTATATTATGTTTAATCAATATTATACTCCTAATTTCAGAAATCGCTTTATTCAACAATATAGTTCTATATGGTCAGTCTGTGCAATAATGTTTATCTTAACGCCTGTAATTAATCCTCTCTTGTATAATTTGGCAAGTAGTAAATTTCGCGAAGTAATTCATGAATTAATATGTTGCCGGAATTCATTAGTGAATAAAAGTACAAAGCATTTGAAATCCGTTCAAGTAATTGCCTGCAGTTCAAGTGTGACTAATATTCGAAGCTGCACAGTGAAATCTGAAAAATCATTCAGCTTGAAAGCACAATTTTAAAGTCATACCAGTTTTAGACCACAGCAATATTCAAAGGTTAAGTTTTTTTCTGTAAGCCTGCACAGCAAGGAATATTTTCGTTATAGCGAAATCTATTACAGTATTCTGTTCCAGTGAATTTCATATAAGTATATAGGATACTAATACAACTATAAAAGTGTTCCATCTCAGTTACTAGATTATGTGGTCGCAAATTCGATTTCAATCGTAATGATATTCATTTAAATAGCAGCGTAGAATTGCGATAGTGATGCAATTCTAGATGCCGTTATTATATCAATAATTGCCAATATCTACTGTACAATGTTGCCATTATAGATTTCAGGAAATGCTTAATTTCCATGCTTGTAAAAATGATAATACTTTTTTGATACGTTATCTACAAAAATCTTCAATCGGGATTAGCTCTCTAACAAAATCTATATTAATATCTTATTCACCTTGTGAATAAAATTATTTATGCAACATTGGAAGTAAAAAATTTATAATATAGCGTAAACGCATCATCTATGAATAATTTATGGATATCGTAAGCTAAAATTATTTCCGCTAGAAATATTGAGCTAGCATGAAAGCAGTAATCAAGAATGTCAACTTCATGTTATGTTTACGAAAATTTAAATCTTTGAAAATTTTATATACGAATGTATTATCATAATTTATAGAACTACTTTGCTCTAAAGACTACATATGCGTATATTTCTATTAATGATGATATACAGTAAATGATATCAAATGATGGCTTAAAATATCTATCAAAGGGTACATTACACCCTTAAGATTGTCTAGAAGTATAATTGACCGAATTATAGGGCTTGAATACATTAAAAAACTTACTACTCATCTGATTAGGGTGTTACCTTACAGTTAAGATAGCCTAACAGTACCACAGTATCTAATATAGAAAATATCCGTATCGCAGTGCTGGTTAAGATAAGTAATGCATTGATGTGGGTATTATTTATGAGAGTTTATAAAATATTTGATATTGATTATTATTGTGTGTAGAAAGTAGTAAGATGATTCAAATTCTAGCTGATGATAGCTGCACTAGACAGCATTCATGCTTCAGTTAAGATTAAGTATGAGTAATAGTTTAAAAATATTTACTGATACAAAAGCTACGGATTTGTAAGGAACATCTCAATTCGAGATATCTTTCCTAATGAAGTATTATAATAATATTGTTGCTGTTTATAAGTTAGGTGTTTCTTATATGTGGAAATATTTTGAGTAAGAAGTAGTTGAGCTGAGTTGTGAAAAGTTGTGGATATGTCTTTTATGATAAAAGTTCCATCTTTTTGGTTATTGGCTATGTGTTTTAATGTTTACTAAAAATGCCGTTAAATCCGTAGTAACTGCACTTATAAATTTTACTTTGCATTTCCTTGTCGTAGAGTTTAAGTTGAGCCACTGCCGCCGTTAAATTTTTTCATGATTTTAATTCTTTAGAATGAAATAGAAATTGTTCTTAACGAATCTATTACCGCTACTTAAGTTTAGTACGGCCAATTTTTATCAAGTAGTAAAATTTCCAACGTAAAGGTTATCCATCACGTGCACAAATTTCGTCCAGTCTAGCTTCTTAAACATCCCAATATAATGTTTAATTATACCATCATTGACCCAAATTATGCTATTACGTCAAGTTAATCTAAGTCCTGTGCAGAAATCGTCACCCGCCTGGTTTTTCATGTTAATTAGTTAAATATCGCTAAAAATTTGGATACTACCACATAGTAGACCTCCGGGTGTAGTGGAGATAGGAATAAGTAATCTATTAGTTAAGGATAGTAGTTCGCAAGTTAAGTTTGTAACACTTATTAACTTGTTTAGACCCCAGTTAAATCTTAAAATTACTATTTATCTATTACTTAGCAACTATAAAGGGATCAAGGTGATATCGTACAGTACTATATTGTGAAATTAAATGCTTTCGACCTTTTACAAAATAAACTGCATTAAATTTGTAGTGTGATCATTTATATAGCAATGAAACATCCGAAATACGTAAAATTTAGAGCTTGACTGTTACGGCCATTCCTAAGAATGGTTTTATCAGAGTTTGTTTCGTATCACTTCTTAATTATAAGGTGTATTTAAAATGAATTTAGGTTGGTGACAATGTAGCGGTACGAATTCCCGATGTCGATAGAGCTAAAGGGGATCATCGAAATTTAATTGCAGTTGTACTGGAAAGAACGGCTGAAGGATATTATCGGTTAGGGACTTCAGCTGGAATATTGAAATCGCTTTACTCGATTGCGCAGTTCGAATCTTGTGAGAAGCATTTCATGTCTCTTAATGATGTATATAAGAATAATCAGGTTTCGCTGCGTCAAGCAGCAACATTTGTATCAGTTGGGAAAGGTCAGGGAGTTTTCCATCGTAACTGCAAACGTAATTGTAGCAGTAAAATTTGTAAATGTCGCGCATCTATGGTATTATGTAATTCAAGATGCCATCAGAGTATGCCATGCACTAATAAGGGTTAACAAGAATCTTTATTTACTTAAATTAAATATGCTCAAAAATAAAAATTTTGTTCTTAAATCGTATTACATGATTGTTGTGCTATAAAATTGATCTATTGTGGGCCTTTATAACTAAACTACAATAAGGAAATAAAATCAGTCATTTGACTATTCCTAGGAATGGCCGCAGTCATGGCCAGTCATTCCTAGGAATGAACGGTCATTCTTAGGAATGGGCCGTCATTCTTAAGAATGGCCGCAGTCGTCACCGGCCATTCCTAGGAATGGCCGGAGTCTTAGCATTGGCCGTGACCAATCTTAAGGACAAAATCATTCTTAGGAATGGCCGTAACATGACTGACCATTAAACAAACATTGATTCAGAAAAAAGTTTCAGGAGGGCTTTTAGTCAATATACCTGATTTTAAGTCGCCGGCAATTAATTTAAATATTTGAATTCAAATTCGCTATCTTAGCAAATCTTTCCTCATCTTTACTATAAACTATCACGCTGCAAGTACAATTTTCGACTTAGTGTTAGAATTAGTTATTACTAGCTTCAGACTCTTAGCGCTAGATTATAAATATTATTCACTATGTTGGTATAAACAAAGCCTATTTTTTATATCTTTGAATTTTTAATAATTATTCATCCAAGTCAATGAAGACTATAATTATCGCTTACCTTGGTACTGCACTAAATCCTGGAAATATCCCTTCAAAGCTATTTTCAAGTAAAAATAACAGCTGCCTACTTTTGGTCATGCGACAATAAATCCTCTATAGCCAAAGCTTAATGATTGTGACGGAGTACAGACTCCGTCAATTAATTGTGGAATTAGCCTTAGTAATTAGTAATTAGTAATTAAGATTTTATTAATTGTTAATAACATTTATTTATTAGCTGAAGTATCTAAATTTTGGCTTTAATCTAACTATGCACTACTACAAAATTTCTTACTCAAATTGAATTGTATCACCCTTAATAATCTTTCAATTTAGTTATACGAAATCAAAATATCACAACTACCGATTTATTATTCTTATACTGATATTGGGAAAATCTTGGGAATAGCAAGTTCTGTAAGTTTTGTAAGTATAATTTTTCTATTTTACCAGTCGCATTTACGCAATTGGTAGTTTCACCTAATGTTGAGTAAGATTATGGTGTAAAAGTTTTAATCTAAAATATCGGTTAGCCTAAGTCATTAGTACTAATAAATCATTGGTAAATTCATCTATTCTTTTTTATACTGTATGATAGGATGGTTGTCAAAAATTATTGTAATACTATAAAATATGCATAGCAAATTATCTTACGATATTACTTTAGTATACATAGAAATTAACGTTATACTGATGGGATGGAAATTATAAAGCTTTATGGATAATTGTTTGGGAAATAATTCCAATAAGCTATTGCCGTAGCTAAGTGGTTAGGAAGGCCTTCATAAACAACTCTAATCAATTATTTAGTGTAGGCAACAACTTCAATATTTACTTCAAATCTGATAATACGGTAATAGAACATCAAAATACGACGGAAATATAGCTCTTAATCAATCTCTGTATTATTTCTTACTTGATTCAAGTGGTAAGTATTGCATTATAGTAGAATCCTTTGCTAGTTTATATTTGATCTCTAGGAACAACCTCTTATTTTAAAAATTTATTATAAGTTTTCTTTCACATGTGCATACAATATTAAGTATCATGCTTTTAGTTAAGATCAATTCAAATTATAATACAGTAATAAAATTAACCAAAATTCATATTTACCATGCAATAACCTAAGTTCAGTATTTAACTTCCTTAAATACGAATTCCATCATAAAAATAAAATCTTTTCTTACAACTCCACAAATGTCAATGTCTAAGAGCTTGAGTACTGCACCATACTTTATTAAACATAGTAGTCAAGTACCCGTTAAATGAAGGGGAACGTATACCACACAACACATTACACTGAAACAAACTTTAGTGCTAGGATATCAGACTATGTAAGAATCTCTTCTTAGTGTGAGATAACTAGCATTTAAAAAGCTTACAGTTCCAAAATAGAAACATGCGTCTAAATTCATCAAAACAAAATACTGACCTTACTAATCATAATTACGAGTTCAACATTGTGAACCAATTACAAAATTTCTGCTTCGTAATAACTATTTATATCTATTGTTTGGATATGATGATAACATATGACTGATTAGGTTAGCGACAATGAATATTTTACCTCCGATTTATTCAATTATAATGAGTAGTCTTCTAGAGAATTTAATAGATAATCTTAATATGGAAATTGTCTAAAAAATAATTGGGATAATCTCAAACAGTGGCTTGCTAAAAATGATTAAAGTCTGCATTTGTGAATTTGAACCGAATCAATAAAGCTGATTTCATTAAAATATTGGTTGAACTATCTGATATAGATAGACTGTGTTTTAATCATGCTCTGGCATTTACCGCATATAGAAAACGGATGGTTTTAAATTTGAAAGATTTATGTATTATGCAGACTTATTCTTCTTTATTACAGTAATATCAAGACATATTTAATTGTGTGCTTTACGACTACTGTAAGCCTTTATCTGTTATCTTAGTAAACTTAGTGCGGGTCATGATAAGAATAAGGAACTGTTTCGTCTGAGTAGCTTATTCTAGAATTGCATGAAACCTTGCCCATCTTCAAGATATTATTCAAACATTTAATTATTAACAGAAATTTTTTACTCGCAAATCTTAATAGTCAATTAATGATTTGGCCCTAAGTAAATTATTATTAGATTAAAAGAGGCAATAATATCCTAATAATATCACGCCGAGCTTTAGAATTTGCAATATTAATTTAGTACTTTAGTGTAGCAAAGCATTCTTGCGCACAAGATATAACAATCCACAAAAAAAAATTGAATGACTGTGGTTAAAGACATAAAATTAATCAGAAAATCAGAAAATTTGCACGTAAGAGTTGAAAATGATAGTTAAATCGCTGCTTGCAACATATTAACACACCATCCTTGAAACCATGCTATCATTATCCCCTTCAAAGTCTCGAAAAACAAGCAGAGACTATTTCTCGCTTTATCCAGATTTAGTAAATCTAATTCTCTTAAGTTTAAATCTAATTGACCATAGTATGTAGGCATAAATATAACAAATAGATTACTAGGATTAATGCGACCAAACTGAACATGGCGAATGAAATTTATCCAAAGTTTTCGTATTAAATGGTAGTGAAGCCATTTCTTAAGGATCTTCAGTACTGCAGACCATCTGGATTTAAAACCCGAATTAAGCTTTATTGCAATGAAGCCAACCGTAACTGTATTTACAACTAATCATGAACAAGAAGACCTCCAGATCTACTCGTTGTATACGCTTATTAATCCTAGCGCATGACTTATTTCGTATTAGTAGTAACGCTATCACGCTTCCACGCTTTCACTCGCTAAGCACCGGCATTGAATTATCATATTTTGCCTAGTCACGAGCAAGTAATCGTATTAAACTACGTGAGTATTATAGCCTACGGCGGTGCATATTATTAATTCCATGCTTGATTAAGAATTTAACTCAAGTACTAAAATCACGGCACTACATGAATCGAATTATGAAACGGCAATCTCTAGCAAAGCACCGACTTTAATTGTGATTTAGCTGTAATTTACCTATTTTATAGTCGGAAGGACAGCCTTTATTCTTATTATTGATTAATTTTAATCGATATTTACTAAAATTACTAATCTAATAGATAGTAAATTATTTATAGGTTTGAGTTGCCTGCACATCCAAGAAACTGATTACAAACATTAAGCTGATTAAATAGAACATGAAACCATAAATTTCATGCACTTACTAAAGCACATACAAGAAATTAAATCGCAGCCGCGTCTACGCTTATAACTCATTTTATGAGCTAAAATCGAAAGCCTAGATATGACTTATATCCTCAGTTAGTCTAGAAAACTGAAGCAAAGTGATTTACTTCCTTCCTTCCCATCGATAAATAACTACCAGCATCTGTGCATTGACATTTCTTGTAGTTACAATGCTGGAAATTGATTACAGTAATAAGCAAAAGCTTACACTTTAGGATAATATCTCTTAACATAAAATTCTATCTTTCAAAAAATTCCTAGCGGCAGATTATTCCTGACTCCATTAAAATAGATGCAATGGTTCGTATGGTATCGCTGCATGATATAGAAAAGCAGTTTAGTAAAATATTTAAAATTTTAAGGTTAAAATACAGTAATTGATCTGTAAACATAAATTAATTATCATTCTTAACGAGTTTTCATTAACTAGGGTTGAAAGATAATTTGAAATACTATTGCCTCGTAATTACCGTGATATACGTTATAAATTAAAGAAAAGATTTTATCGCTCATCATTGGATACCAGCGAACATAAATTGGTAAAAGACCATTATCCTGGCAACCTATAATTAAAATTGACGTAATATATCTATTCTAATGCTGTATACCTGTTTAAAAATAATGTGACATGAACGTCAAGTTCTTATAAAATCTTGATGCGCTTGTACAAATAGGGTTTCCATCCAATCGATGCTTGCACAATCTCCAAATCTTAACGAAATTGGTCTATTTTAGTATCGCAATATGACATATCAAATTAAACTTCAGCTGTCCCTGCTATAACTTAAAGAATAAACGGAGGCCTTCATTAGTGATTATTCTTAGTTTTTCATTATTTATATTTTTTACAGCTCATTTCCATTTACGCCCTAATAGATACATAAGCGCATAGAAATACTTTTTTGGAAAATGAAAAATACTTCCAACTTAAACTACCAAGAAAAAAAATGAAGTAAAAGAATTATTAGTCGGCTATTATTTCACCTATTCTACACTGGCTTCTTCAAAACCTTGTGGCTGAAGTTAATTTTTTAAGTCAATCGGCTAGTTTCTTCCTCACAGATTATAATTTATCCTATT